GGGGGGGGGGGGGGGGGGGGGGGGGGGGGGGCCCCTTCGCCGTTCCCGGAAGTTACTTACTTCCGGGTTTGCCAACCAACCGGTTCGCGGCGGTCCCTGCGAACCGGTTGGTCGGCGAACCCGGAAGTAAGCAACTTCCGGGAACTCCGAAGTGTTCACCCGCCCACGTTTCTTTACCCGGTTTTGACGAGTTCTGCGCTTCCACGCATGCGCAGGACGCATACAGCGCCTGCGCGATCCTCCAGGAGCAGCTGGAGCATCGCACAGACGCTAGTACGCATGTGTGTGCCGCGCATGTGCACGCGCCGCACGCGTGCACGAGGACGCCGCCGGCCCTGTTCCAACCGAACCGGTTGGAACGGGGCAAGAAACCCACCCCTGTATGAGACCTATTATAAAATGCAGTTCAGCAGTAGTTTAAGGCCGAAAATCTGCCCACCTCTTACTTAGCTGATGTGTGAACCAGGCCAAAACCTCATCTGTTTTTTAAAATTGGGAAACTTTTTATTACATATTTTCCTGAATTTTGAAAAGGGCATTTAACAGAGTTACATAGATAACATATCTCCTTTCTGCTGTATCTGCATCTGCTTTTTATAAGGCAACTACCAATTAAATGGGATTGGGGAAATTCACACATTCCTTTTCCTTTTAGCCAGGCAAATTAAAATGACAAATGCCCATGTTTTGGTCACTTAAAAAAAATGAAATAATGCTTATGTAAGAAGCATTAACACAATAAATAACAATACTGTTTGTATAAGAATCAGGTAAAGATTATAATTTGAGGATCCAGCTTTGGAGATATCCAGGATGGGTTTCTTTTGTTTTTGTTTTTGCTTTTTATAGGTAGTCCTTGATTTACAGCAGCTCATTTAGTGACCGTTTGACGTTACAATGGCACTGAAAAAGTGACTTATGACAGTTTGCAACATCCCGATGATCACATGACCAAAAACCAAATGCTTGGCAACTGATTCATATTTATGCCACCTGGGGTCATGTGATCACCTTTTGTGACCATCTGACAAGCAAAGTCAATGGGGAAGCTGAATTCATTTAACAACTGTATTACTAAGTTAACAACTGCAGTGACTCACTTAACAACTGTGGCAAGTTAAGTCATAAAATGGGGCAACATTCATTTAACTGCCATCTCACTTAACAACAGAAACTTTGAGCTCAATTTTTGCCATAAATCAAGGACTACCTGTACTGTTAATTGTAGTCCTTTCCTGTATCCAGGCCAAGAGTGCAATTGTATTTTCCAAGCAGTAGCTCCTATTAAATGAAACACAGTCCACATTATCCAAAGCTGGCAAATTCCTGTAAGTTCCCATCTTTAGTTTATCTATTGCTGTACAGCTTGGTCCAGGAATGTAATTTTAAGCCTTAACCTGCCACCCTGAGGCTTCAAAGCTGCTCTTGGATAAATGATATATGAATGTATTTGGCTCTGTTTTTCTCTCTTCCATGTTCTTTAGTTGGTACTCCTCAACTGCATATGATGTGTGTGCTTATGATATATATTAGGGATCCCTAACCTCCAGACTGTCACCCACTATCAGGTCTTAAGCCTTTCTGAACCAGGCTGCAGAGGTAGTAGGCAAGCATGCATATGTGTGCATCCCCACTTCTGCAAGCAATGGGCTAGCACATGTGCTTCATTTGTGAGAGCAGCAGGCACAATTGCTTGTCGCTCGTGCAAATGGAACTGTGTGCATGCTTGAATGCCCCTCACTTGGAACCATCCCCTCTCACCTCCCCCTCCATTGGTCCGCAAAGCCAGAAAGGTTGGGGAACTCTGAGAGTGTATGTACGCACACACACAAAGAATATCTGTACTAATGTAATTCCAAAGTGTTTCTCATCTACATAAAAAAAAACCCACTATGTCCTTCTAAAGTGGCATGAGTCAAAAGTAAATACTTCGTCACATAATGTTCTGGGATGGCAATAAATTGTTTCATGCTAGCTCTTGCATATTCACTGCTTGAGTAGCCTAAAATGGAAAAATCTACCAGCAACTACCAGCTGCTTTGAGAATTTTTAATTTTTACTCAGCAGAATACCAGCGGATGCCAACAACGGAACCTGTGAAGCTAACATTTGGTACCACAAATCACCTTCAGAGTTAGAACAGTTGGAAACTTGCATATTCACTTTAAACCTAACCGCCTGAGAGATAACACCTGCGCTTCCAATTGGTCTACCTTTCCATCTTTCTTCCCTTGTTTATTTAGGAAAATACACTGCAGTATTTGAACAAATGTGAAGAAAAGGCATTATATGCCCCTATTAAGTCTTGATAAGAGTCTTGGCAGTAGCATGAGGCTGTGTGTGTGCACATGCACATATTATTAGTGATCGAATTCAGAGAAAACTGAGGAATGCAAGGTAAGTTCTAAAAAAAGAAAGGAATTGCTTACATAAAGAAGAAAAAACTCACAGAGAAAAGCCCCAAAGTTTCCCCCCAAAATGAAGATGTTATTGGCCCAGCATACTTTATATTTCAGTTACACAGTATGCTAATGTAGAGAACATAATGATGTGTAAAATGGGCAGTATAATCTTTATGAGGCTTTAGTGTTTGCCCTATCATTTCTACTATCCTTTGCATCTTTGTCCCTTCAGCTTCCCAACTTGGATTAAATATGTTCCAAAAATTAGGCATGGCGGCCTGGACTGGTCTTGGTCACAATCTCACTGAATAATCTGGTCGATTTGTATTTTAGTCTAACAGGCAAAAAAACAAAGACAAGGGAGATAAATAGTACAGTCAATGTACTGAGTGGAGCGGAGAAAAATAGTAATAGACGGTATTCTTATAATCCTTTTCCTGATATATTTTACTATAGACTCATACAGCACTTTTCCATATTGATTTCAATTACATCTCAGTAATCCTTGCAATAGTCTTGAAAAATATTTCAGTATTATTATTGCTTCTGTATCAGAGAAAAGATATCAGAGAATCATTCCATGAGGTAAAGGCCAAGATGAACTTCAAGAAAATAGGTAAAATACAGTTGTTGTTGTTGTTGATGTTGTTGTTGTTGTTTTTGGCTAAGTCTATATTTCTGAAATGTATATCTTGAAAGGATTTTTTTAAAACAAAAATGGAATTAAATCTCTCCATAAACTCAAACTTAATTTGTGTCATTTCAGATTAAGAAAATGTCACAGAAAAAAATTAAGCAGGTAAATTGAGAAGATCAACTGAAAAAGCAGTTTCAAAATTAAGAAATGCTGTCACTGGATTTATGGGTGCTATTAAAATATCATTGAGATAGACAGAAGATGGATGGGAGCAAACACGATGCAAGAAGATGTCTTAAAATTCTGAATTCTAGTAGGAGAGCTTGTATCATGTTTTTAGATTTAGTGGTTCCACAAGGGCTTTGAGACACAAATCACTAGATGCAACTTGGCTAT